GAAATGCTGATGCTTAATCAATGTACTTACGTAGCTTCGGTTTCATTGCCGCAATCATAAATTTCCACATCTTTTCAAACGAATTTTAAATACTATAATATCGCTCTATATATATATATATATATATATATATATTCATTCTTTCTCTGTTTCTGATAAAATATAAGCTAGGACATTCTCTGAGAAATCTAAATTCCCCGATATCTCCAATGTATAACATTCTTGTGTACGTGTGCAGCGCTCGCCTTACAGAGCTTAGCACCTAATAGCGATAGAGTTATTGTTAACATACTCTGACAGCAATGTTAATAAAGCATACACGGTAGAATCCTTTTGTTATTTTTAATGTGATTAAGAAATTGATCTATTATCCTTCCTGCATGAGAGATGAACGGCTGAGTTTGTTCATAAACTAGTTCATAAACATAGTTTTGGTGCATTTGATCGTCTTGTCAGTTGCTGTTCGATTATTCGCGTGACGATAAATATTTAAGAAAACATTGTTTGCAAGATAATATTTAATTTAACCAGAAAAATTCAATTGCACAAAAAATCATTCAAAAATATCGTTTTGGTCATTCTCGTATCTCTTTCTCTATAAAACAGAAGACGCAAGATTATGAGATCTATTAATTATTGTATCTAATTGTTATAGTAATATTTTCCATGTCTTAATTACAGTAACGTAACTGTAGTCAAAAATGCATGAAAACAATATGCTAGCACTCCGTTCACGTTTGCAAGTAAAACTATTTAGCTATCATGATGTAATACGATGAAAATAAAAATATATACTTTTCACTTCTTGAAAGTAGTCAACAAAAAAATCAATATTTCTCTTCGTACCTAATAATATTCATATAGGTACAAACACCTACGTTTGCAAAAATATTAGGTCACTTTCCCCCTTTCTACCGAGAATAAATTTTTATCTGCTCAAAGTTACAGTGAAATTTCCACTGGCACGAAGTACAACAGCGTCAAATAATTAACAAATCGTTATCCGTGAATCACTGCAGGATATACCATCAACGTAGATTTTGTCTCTCAATTTCAACATGTATATATACATATTCTGTTGCACGTAGTGCGTGCAATGCAGAGCATAAATCAGAATCTATTTAAGTTAATCATCGTTATCACATTCGTATGACTTCTACTGCCACGTAGAATTTACGTAATGTTATCTATATACTCTTTCATAAAACTTACATTGCTGATGTACATAAATATGGAAATGCGCTAATTACTATTATACAAGATAAATTTCCTCAAACAAGTTTAAAGCGGAAAATAATCAGTCACTAAGCGCGACTAATCGTGCGTAGAAAAATATGATTTTTTTTTCTTTTTTTTTTATTAGAATCCATTCTACACATCAGCAATATAAGTTTATCGCCTCCAAAGATTGTCCTGCGTTATGAATATTATCGTGAGACGCGTACTTTCTATGTTTGCCTTTCAACCGTTTATACAGCGCGATGCGAGAAGTGTCGATGAGAAGAACCGGCGCTTTAAGTAACAGCGAGATATAATAACGCGCACGGAAAATTGTCATTCTTAATCGTAGTAATGGTTATACAAAATATTCTTTATGCAAAATATTATTCGTAAAGACGTAAAATGTAAATGGCATAAGTACCATTCGTAACCACATTATAAAACTTTTATCATACAGATCCACTATATAGACCTATAATTATACAAATCAATATCCTAATTAACGGACGTAAAAAGTACCTAAGAAAATCTAACGCGTCCTAGAAGAATTGCCTTGGTAAAATGTGAAAACTATGACTTATGCCACTCTTATTAAATGCAAGACAGTGGTGGACTATACAAAAGAAATGAGAAACGTACAAAAAAAAAATCTTCGTACTATACGTGGCGTTTTCACGCGATCTCGAAGTCGTGACAACTCAAAAAAAATCGCAATTGAATAAACCTAGGTTCGATTGGTATTATGTACAAGGGGAAAAAAAGGAACGATTTGGTCAGATGATGAAGCAGCGAGAGTGTCACTTGAAACACACCTGGATTTGCCGAAAGCGACAAACGCCCTTTGGACCGAACGGAATTCTCACTCTGTCCCCCTTCGCGGGGAGCAATATCATTAGCATTACGCGTAATCATCCTCAGTTATCTTTACGAGCCTTTTTTTTACTCTTTTTCTGAGGTTTCGCCTCTGTCCAGACGTCTGGAACACAAGTGAAGAAGAATAATATATTAGACAATTCGTAAATAAAAGTAGAAGCAGTAGAACTCCGCTTATCCGGAACACAGCCGGGGCACACAGTTCCGATAACCGAACGGTTCTCGGATAATAGAGGCTCATTAGCTCTCCCCTCTACCGGTACTTATTGTCGGTTTCGATAATAGACGCGAACTTTCTCGGAAAACCGAAGTCGGGCACGTCCGTGTGTAAAACCGAACACATACTCAGCTTCGGATAACAATTCAGCTGTGAATCCGTATATTCGGAACTGAGCACAGACTCGTTCGTATGAATAGAGATAAACGGAGTTGTCTTGTAACTCGTAACTTTCTCATTAATGCAACGTACCTCCTAATTCGTCGAACACGGCAATCTTCTCCTTACTCTCTTCCACTTGATTCTCCTCCACATTGTTGGCCACTTTTTCCGGCACACTCGCCGGCTTCGTCTGCTGCTCCTCCGCGACGGGCTTGTTATCGGTCTTTGGTGTGGACGGCACCGAGGCGGGCGTGCTCTCGCCTTCAGTAGTTTTCTTATTCTTCTTCGATTTACCGGATTTCTTCTCTTCCTTCTCGACCTTCTCGACCTTCTCGACCTTCTCGATCTACAAAATCGAATGTCTCGTTCATGGATTGCCAGCCGAGAGATTCTAACGTTACGTAAAACGAGGGTTTACCTTGCTCTGCTCTTCCTTCGGCGGCTCCTTGGCCTTACCTATCTCCTCGTCCGAGATAGACGTAAGGATCACTTCCTTCTTCTCCTTCTCCTTGAGCTCCTTGTTTTCGGTCTCCTTAGCGATCTTGTCCTTCACCTCGGGCTTCTCCTGCTCCTTCTGCTTGGCTTCGTTTATCAAATCGGCCTTCTTCGAGGCCTTCTTGTTCTTCTTCGAAGGGGACTCCTCCTCCTTCTTCTTGTTCTTCTTATCCTTGCGCGAATAAGCCTGCTCCCAATCTCCTGTTATCAATTATTAATAATTAATTCGTCGTCAGATAACAGCCCCGAAACAACTGCACGAAGAAAATGCGTCTTATCTTATTTATGCTAAATACATGCAAGTCGACCAACCATCGTCAAAGTCCACTGGTTTCTCCTGGAACAAATTCTTCAAGTTCTTCTTGTTCTTCGCCTGCTCCACTCCTTTGTTCTCCTTGCCGGCCTTAGTCGACAGCTGCTCCTTTTCCTTCTTCGTAGCGACGATCTTGTTGTCCTCTTGCTTACGCTCCTTTAATTTACCGTCAACATCGTCTCCCTTGGCAGCCTTCTTGGGAGCCTCCGCTTTCGCTGCTAATGTCTTTTTAGCCGGACTTGTTTTCTCGGATGCAACTTGTCCGTTAGCAGCCTTCTATAACAAACCAAGTAAAAATGGCTATCGATAAAATTCCACAATGACATACTATCTGATATTAAAAATGTAATGCATGTATTTTCCTAAATAATACTGAATGCATTAATAATAAACTTGTGTCATTTCTGTCAATAAAATTAAACATAAAATCAACATTAAATTAAATAGAGCACTCTTTCTTCCGTCACATATGTTCATTTTAGTTGTTGCATACCTAAGAACAGATAGTCCTAAATTTTATAAATTTTATTTGCTTAAATATACAAATCATATTCATCTCATTGGTGTGAAATTATACTTTGAGCAAGAAGCGCAGAAGTGACTGAACTTTGAAAAGAGAAAGAGGGCAAAAAGCGAGTGTAGAAAGCGCCGATAAAAAGAGCAGATTCTATTTAGCGCTGGGCCGCTGGACACGCGGCGAGAATTCGCTGAGGGGAAGGGAAGGGGGGGGGGGAAGTACCTCCATATCCCCGGGAACGTGACGAGGGGAAACGGCCACGAGCCACGCCGACAAAGAAAACAGACCCCCGTCGTGGCGCGTTACGTCACGGAGGGATGGGAGGGGGGAAAAAGGAGAAACAGCTACCTCGCGCGAATCCACCCTCTCGGGATCGGAGGGACCAGCTGATTAGCGGGCGTGTGTGCGTGAGACTCGCGCCCCACGAGCGAGGCCACCATATGGCGGGCGGCGATCGCGACGTGTCTCCTGGGGGGAAAAAAGGGCGCGCGCGCGCGGAGGGGGGGCACGAAGGAGCGACGGAAAGAGAAAGAGAGAGAGAGAGAGCGAGGAAGGAGAGACGCGCGCGCGACGCTGTCGTCGTCGCCGTCGTCGTTTTTCCCACTAACCTTCTCGCGGACCTTGCCGCGCTTCTTGCCGCTCTTGCGGTCCACGTCGGAGCCCGCTGAGAGCTGCGCGAACGGCGGCTGCTCGGCCTTCTTGAAGCCGCAGACGAACACGAGAATGGCGCATACCAGCACGATACCCACGGGGATCGCGTACGCGTAGTATTGCGAGTGCTGCAGCAGCAGGGCGACGTGATCCATGGCGGCGAGCGGCGGCGAAGACGACGTCTTACTCGCGGCAGGCGGGAGAGGAGAAGAGAGACCAGATGAGCGCCAGGCGACCAGACACTCCCGGTGCGCGTGTCCCGCGCGTGCGATATGCGAACGATGACAGCGGCGACGGACGACACGACACGACACGGCACGACGACGACGACGACCGACGACGTAGCAGCGCGGTGAACCAGACGGCTGACACGACGCGGCGCGCGCGAAACAGATCGCTCAGCAACGCGGCATGCGCTACGCGCGCTCTGGCGGACGCGCGGCGAACCACCGTCTGCCAGGCGGGCGACCACCGGGCGGCCCGGGCGCTGACGCGGCTCGTGTGACGCGTACCGCGACCACCTTCAGGTCGCGCGCGCGGCGGCAACTTCACGCGGGTGTCGCGCGCGACACGCGCGGGATCTTTCGAATACGAAAGTTTACAAGCGTTTATTCGATAATAAATTACTTTTATAGATAACGAGATAATCTGAATGTATTGGAAGTTAAATGTCAAATCTCGAACGTAAAATGTTTAAATGAGTCTATTGGCAGCTGCAATAAGAGGATAGACAATTTTCATTGTTAAATAAGAATATCAAACAGTGAAATCCTGACGTCGTATAGTCAGTTTCGCAAAAATCTACGTTGTATTTCATGCAGGTCTCATTACAAATTTTTACTCGAAATTAAGTTGTATCTCTCCAAGAATTCTTCGAAGTATTTCATCACAGTTTGCAATTTGCAGGTATAGCAGCTTGTTGCAACAGATGGTTGCGCAATTCGACGATAAAAAGCGCTGCAAGTGTAGTGCCCGTCTGGCACCGTCACGTTGGGGGTTATGTTTACACTCCGATATGCGAAATACAATAACGTCGGAATTGTTCGTCGTACGAGCTTTACACACTACGCATGGTCGAGCGTGATTGATTATCGTCGGTCATGTGAAAGCTCTGACGTGACCTCGTTTACGCTTTCGTGTGACGCTGAGCGACCGTCGCTGAACCGTCGCGATATCACTCGCGGATCGCGCGTCGGATCCGTTTCCAATTTGGCCTACCCGTTCGTCGATCAATTATCAATTTTTCCACGATGCTGGAGGGAGTGAAGCACGTGCTGTTGGTACTTTCGGGAAAAGGCGGCGTCGGCAAGTCGACAATCAGCACCCAGCTGGCGCTTGCTTTGAAGGAATCGGGCTTTCGGGTGAGTGTCTCTCCTGGGAGTTTTTTTTTTTTTTTAAAGATTTTTAAAACACCTCGTCCTCGACACAGTTGAACTCCGAAATAATATACTTTTAAAATAAATCGTACAACTTGCTTCGCTACTACTGGTGCAACAAAAAACGAACGTTAATGATCAATCCACTTATCCAAATAATTTATTAAATATTCTGACAGTCTAACCTCTATGGAAATTAAGATATGCTTGTCAAGCATTTAGTTTTAATTAATCAGCGATTAAAACTAAAAGCAAAAAAAACTGTTGATTGCAGGTTGGGATCTTGGACGTCGATCTTTGTGGCCCCAGTGTGCCTTACTTGCTGAACTTGGAAGGGGAAGATGTTCACCAGTCCTCCGAGGGGTAATCCTTTATCACTTGAACGTTAATTCCATAGTAATAATTACGCGATTGCCAACGGGTCATATAAATCGGTAGGTGGATACCAGTGTTCGCCGATGCAGAGCAGAAACTGTCTGTCATGTCGATCGGTTTCCTCCTTAAAAGTCAGAACGACAGTGTGGTCTGGCGCGGACCTAAGAAGAACGGCATGATCAAGCAGTTTCTAACAGATGTAGTTTGGCAGGATATCGATTACCTGATCATCGACACACCACCTGGCACCTCCGACGAGCACATTACAGTCATGGAGAACTTAAGGTTAAATAGTGAATAATAATATTGTACATATCACTTATTTGCTGCGACATAACTCAGAAATCGTAATTTTTTTTAGTTACATAAAAAGAATGAAAACACAAAAAAAGACAAACATCAAAAGAATATACTTTCATTCCTTTGCAATCAGTTATTACACCAAAATTGTGTTTCAAACTGACAATTGATATTACAATATTTTAATGAAACATTCAAACTCATTTTATAGAAAATTTTGTTTCCTGAGTCGTGTCGTTGTTGTAATAAATGAACGATACATAAAACGATATAAAACTATGTTTAATTTTGTGATAAAATTATTAAAATTAATATTTGTATAATTACGTAAGACATTTACCAAGTGAAATCATTACAGAAGTGTAAAATGCGACGGTGCGATTATAGTGACCACTCCGCAGGCGGTCGCAGTGGACGATGTTCTGCGGGAGGTGACATTTTGCAGAAAAACTGGCATCCACATAATCGGCATCGTTGAAAATATGAGTGGCTTCGTCTGTCCCTCATGTACAGTAAGTACTCCGTCCCGCATTCACAATTTTGATTTGTAACTGTTCAAGGTAGCTTTAACATAAATCTTACTCTTGTTACAGGAGTGCACCAATATATTCTCCTCGGGCGGTGGGATAGCCCTCTCGGAGATGGTGAAGGTGCCGTTTCTAGCTAAAGTACCCATAGACCCACAAGTCGGCAAGTTAGCGGATAAGGGACAGAGTGTCCTGGTGACGTTACCCGACAGCCAAGTCGCACAGGTGTTCAGAAAGTTAGTCGAGGAACTCACCAAGAGTAAGGAGGCTTGAGGACAGTTATTTTGCACCGCGAGAGTGATTTCCGGGATTACACGTGGGCGATACGCTCTACTGGCATCTTTATCTTAGATTGACTTATTTACAGGAAATTGTATATACAAGTATCTCTGTGAGATAATTGTTTTTATACTATAGTGTGTACGAAGTTGCAAAAAAAATAAATAAAGAATTGTTATTTTATCGTATAATATTTGCATATGTTGTAAGAAAGGAAAGGGATTACCACAAGGCAGCAAAAGATCCTGATCTGTAACAGGCATATATTAAGTAATCCATTTTATTTTTTTTTCCCCCAATAATATTGGTTCAATGCAAGTTAAATTTACGCTCGGAGAAAGACACAGTGGTGACAATTATAAAAGTAATACCTATACAAGTTTTACATATAGAATTAATGTACACGGTTGAGTAAACCATTTTATAGTTACTGTACAACTATAAATTAGTTTGTTCAGCTATATACATCATTTATCAACTACATATATATATTAATTCTACATATAAACTTATATAATTGCTACCAACGTTATGTTTTTCTCCGGGTGTGGAAACGCTTTTTGTACCAATATGGCTGTAGAGACACAGCAGAAACAACATACAGCATAACAATACTGTCTGTACAATGTATCTAAAATTCTTTTGCGTGTAAAACTGTATATATCGTATATATAATATTCATTTGTTCCCCCAGCCCCAGAGACCCTTGACAAAGCCGGTGAGACCGGCCTGTCCCCTCTTAGCCTGGTCGCCCATCTTGCTCGACAGATCGGGGAACTCGACCATGTTGAAGGCCAGATCGAAGAACAGGGGTTTGCAGGGGATGCTGCGCATCGGCGGCGGCAATTTGTAGACGTTCGGCTGCTTCGTGAGAAGCGCCGGGTCCTCTCTGTACTCTTGCAAGCGCTCGTACAGCGGTTTCTTGCTCTTGGCGAGCTTACTGGTGCCGCTCTCCTCCTCCTGACCGTCCTCCAGCACGCTGTGGGCGTGAGCGGCGTACTGCGCGGCCTCCACGGAGGTTCGCAAGTTGCACAGGGCATCCTTGAGCGCGACCGGGAGGATCTTGTTGCACTTGTGCGCGTCTTCGACGTGCTGCAGCGATCTCTGGTACAGGGCCATAGCCTCGCGCCAGCGGTGCAGGTTGGCGAGGCTCTGGGCCATGTAGAAGCATCGGAAGGCCCTGTAACACTTCGTCTTCGCCTCCTGCTCCTCCAGGAACTCCGCGTCGTCCTGCAGCTGCGAGATCTCGACGAGATTATGCAACGCCGCCTCGTACAGGCGCACTATGTCCTGCGGCTTGGCCTTCTCCGACTCCTCCGCCGCCCTCACCAGCGTCAGATTGCGCTCCAGGGTGCGCGACAGCCGGATGTACTGCAGATAGTTGATCAGGTGCTGCGGCGGCGACCACTTGTCGTTCTCCTTGTTCTTCAACTCGTTCTTGAAGTGATCGCGCACCGCCAACACGGCGTCCTTGCAGTCGATCAAATGCGCCTCCAGCAGATCGATCTTCGCCTGATTCGTGGCGGCTCGCTCGAGAGCTTGGTTCAGTCTGGAGTCCGCGATAATCAGACCGGCCGCACGCGGCGGCACCGTGCCGCAGGATCTTCCGCGCCACGTCACCTCCTCGACGTTGGCCTGCTTCTCCCGCGTCTGAGCTATCAGAGAGTCCAGGCTGGCCATCAGCTCGCCGCTCAGTTGCCCGCGCATCTGCATGAGATCGTCCATAGCGCTCGTGTCGCCGATGTTGTAGGCGCAGTATCGTAGACTGGGCGCCAATTCCTCGACGCGCGCCTTGTACACGACCTGCTCCAACTCCGGCAACGCAGACGCCAGATTACCGTACACCACCTGCGCCTTCTTCAAGTTTTCCATCGCCTGCTTCCACAGCTGCAACTCAAACTGCAGGGAGCCGTTCATCCAGGCTACGTACGCCTGGGCCTCCAGTTTCGTACGCGCGTCGCAATTTATGTTCTAGGCAGGGAAAACATAAACAAATGAAGTACTAATATAATCTTTCATAGAACTACCTAACGAAACAAAATTAAAACATTAAGATACACAGCTTTGGCCGCAAGTATAAAGCACTGTCAATTTATTGTACTTCTTGAAAAAGTCAAAGAAAAATTAACAAAATATTAAAATTGTTATAAAATATTATTTTTAAACTAAATATTATTTTTCAACAAAACCTTTCTTTTTAATTTATTTGTCGTTAGATGTAGAACGTTTACGTCAATTTATGAGGGTGCTTTATACTTGGCCGATACCACATAAAGAATCTTGTAGATAAATTAGAACTAATCCTACAGAAAGGCTGCTCTTTTATAAAAATATACCTCTATCAAGTCTTGCAACTGCAAGGAGTACGCAGCCGCTTTTTTGAGTCTCGATATCAAATGAAACTTCTTCCTCGGCTCCGTGTTAGACTCCTGGCGCAGCTGCATCGCGTAGCTCCACGCGCGCTCGGCCATCATCAGAGGCACCTGCAAAAACTTGTCCTCGCTGACCATAGCCGCGGTGACGTCTCTCCTCTTGAAATGACGTCTGTCGCCTTGCGGCACCTTCAGCACCTTCCGCAATCTTCTGAGCCTTCTCGAGCAGTAGCCGCGATACCGCTGGTAATCGCCGTGTCTCAACCCATGCTGCTGCTGCGCTTCCTTGATTATCTTCAAAACTACACGTTACTTTGTCAGGAATTGATACAAGCACAGAGATTGAAATTGGCTAAATTGAACATACAAATCGCAAGATAATTTACGCAATTTTTACGTCAAATTTAACTTTGTCAGGAATTAATATGAGCAACACAGAGATTGAAATTGAGTTAATTAAACATACGAATCGCAAGATAATTTTTTTTTTACGCTAATTTTTTTACGTCAAATTTAACTTTGTCAGGAATTAATATGAGCAACACAGAGATTGAAATTGGCTAAATTGAACATACAAATCGCAAGATAATTTTTTTTACGCTAATTTTTTTTACGTCAAATTTAACTTTGTCAGGAATTAATATGAGCAACACAGAGATTGAAATTGGGTTAATTAAACATACGAATCGCAAAGATAATCTTTTTCTACTCTATTACGTCAAATTTAAGAAACTTTACGCTTATATTAAGTGGCTGCTTCATCTATTTGATAAGTTTAGCAAATATTTAATAGATTTCCAATAACGCGACAGGCGAGAGGTTACGAACGAGCATATGGCACTGACAGTTCTGTCAGAGACCGCGACGGAACCCGCAATTTCACGAAAGGATACTCTCCAAGGAGTACGTTCTCGGCTCTTTCCCCATCACTCCATTCTGCGTCTGATTCTCCTTCGAGAGGTCCATCTTTTCTTCGACCACCATCCTTCTTCAAAACCACTTGATCTTCATGAAAAAAAATGCTAAAATACGTAAGTATACACCTCGCGACCGCTCGCAAATACCTCGCCAGAGAAAAACTCGGGAGAAGCCTAAGAGCCGACCACTCCGGCTTTTTTCACTCCGCCACACTACCGCCACCAGCGTTTCAGCATGTGGCACTACGTAGCCACTAGGCTTCTACGCGGGTACACACCTATTGTATTTCGGGACTAATATCCATTTCTACCAATGTAGATTAACTTTAATTTTTTTCACGGTTTTATTTACTTTTTTTATCCTTTTCCAATTCTTAAAAGTAGAAAAAGATACAAAGTAAGTTAAACCTGGATTAAATTATTCTACGTCGGTAGAGAAATGGGTAATTAATCCAATTTAAGTTGACCAATCGTAATCGATTAATCTCCTCACATTCGATTGTGATTGAAGCGACGAGAGGCGAGACATCGATACCCTCTTGCATCTTACAAATAGCGGCCTCCTTTCGTACGCGCGAATCAAGTCAAAACGGTTTGCTTTTTATCGAGTTTTGAAACTTCACGACGCCGATTCAGAGGTCAATTTTGTCGAATATACGTGAAGATACGTGAAATACACGGTTCGCAGTCGACTCGCCGTGCATCGTCAATTATAACGGATTAACAATAGCGATTGCAAGTGTATGAATAACCTATGTAAACATCACAATGAAATCTGATAGGGAATCACAGACTGACGTCGAGATAAAGATCCAAAGGACGTTAATTTCCATCAATGACGTTAGTCTGAAAATGTAAAAATTTTTTACAGTTTACTCCTGCGTGGACGGTGCGCGATGATCCGATGGTATGATAATTGGATCGCGTGTGTTTTCAACTTTCAGAAAGAAGGAGCTGGAGAGGATCGACGAACTGACGAAGGAAAACGGACAACTGCGCACGGTAGTCAACGCGGCGAATCAAACGTTGGCCAGGAAGGTTGAGGAAATGGGAATGAACGTGGCGGAGGTTATCGCTGAGAGCGAGCCGAACAAGCGTAACGACAGGTTAGAATTGAATCTTGCTGAGCTCGATCCCGACTATTAGAGAACCTGCTATACAGAAAAACATGGACTAAATAAATGCCCGACATATAATTTTTAAGCATTTTTTTTTTTTACTGTACATCGTATATCTTTACACTCTTTTATCCCTTGATAATTCATATATATTTGGTCATTTTTATAAATTTTATCAAGAGGTATAGCTAAGAGTCAATCACCAATAGATATTATGTATGTGTAAAAATAATTCTTATCTCTATGGCTTATACTATATTTTACTTTAGCAGTATTAATTGCCTGTAAAGCACAATTACGGATCGCATTAATTAGGGACCTGTAAAAAATATATAGTCTTCTGAGGAAAGAAACGTTGGAATTATAGTTTTACTGACAGCATTTTTGCTGCCTATGGCATATACACCTATAATTTCGATTCTGTTAACCAACTGAATTCCTGCTTCTTTCGATCTGCTTGCGGGTCAATCATGATGTTTATTAAACTGGGACTGTCCACCACCTGAAACGACATTTTACAATTTAGGCGTTTTCCTTCGATTTTTTTTTTAAGAGTTAGCTTTGCGACGAGCTTAGGCTTTACTTTGAGAGATAACTTTAATGCCTGCTGAATGTCCTCCACGGTAGTGCAAAAATGTCCCTTCTTGCCAAACATTTCCATCAGTTTCTCATAATGAGTTTCACATGTCAAAGAAAACGGAGGTGTCCTGAAAACGTAAGTTTAATAACCAATGTAAAAATATCTGGATATGCGAGCAATCGATACAGCTGAGACAAATAATAAAGTCAAAGATAGAAATAGCAAGTTCGAAATAAAATTGAAATTAAATATAGTTAATTATTTTAAAGTCCTATAATTACATTTCAAGTTAAATACAAGTTAATCTAAATATTTAAAATATAACTTTTTATATCAAGAAATTAAAAGTCCTATAATTACGTTTCAAATCAAATACAATTAATCTAAATAGTTAAAATACAACTTTTTATATCGAGGGATTATGTAAAGAGATGCGTACACTTGCGTAGGATCTCCGGTCGCCTGTATCTGTTTGAAGGTTTCGTTATCGAAGCCGCCGTATATACCGTTATTATTCACAATTATAATAATCACCGGTAGTTTGTAACTGCGGAGAAAGGAAGGTCGGTTAGTGAGATTACATTCTTCGCGCAAATAAAAAAATAGCGACTTTTCTCTCGACAATTCCATCCGAGATTGCGTTACCGAAACATGGTTTCGATCTCCATGCCGGAGAATCCGAAGGCGCTGTCCCCTTCCACGCAAATCACCCTCTTTCTCGGCGCGTTGTCTTTGCAGTAAAGGGCAGCCGCGATCGCAAAGCCGAGCCCCACACCCATAGTGCCAAACGTACCGGCGTCTAGCCTGTGGCGAGGCAAATTGTTCAAGAGAATCGTTCGTCCGATGTCCATCGTGTTAGCTCCCTCGGAACAAATAATGCAATCTGTGCACGTGTACAAAAGAAAGAAAAAATTTTTATTAGGGTAACTGTCCCTATTAGTGTGCTTTTATGTTTAAATAAGTCATAAAAATAAACTGGTACAAATATATAGACAAGTATTTTTTTTTATTAAGTTAAAGTATTAACTCTGTCTCTT